TGGTCGGCTACACAGACAGTGACTGGGCCGGATCAACTGACGATATGAAAAGCACCTCGGGCTACACATTTTCACTTGGCTCAGGCATATTCTCATGGTCATCTAAAAAGCAAAATTGTGTGGCACAATCATCAGCAGAAGCCGAGTATGTCGCAGCAGCACTAACAACTAGTCAAGCTATTTGGCTTAGGCGTATTCTTGGATATATGGGAGAACACCAAGAAAGTCCAACGGAGATATACTGCGACAACAAGTCAGCAATAGCAATGGCGAAAAATCCAGTACATCACAGCAGGACCAAACACATTGCTACCAAATATCATTTTCTACGTGAAGCAACTAATAATAAGCAGATAGAGCTCACGTATGTCGCCACTGAAGATCAACTTGCAGATATTTTCACAAAGGCTTTACCAAGACCAAGATTCGAAAGTCTGCGCGAAAAACTTAGAATTATTCAAAAGAGCATTAAGGGGGAGTGTTAAATTAATGCTCTTTCTAGAAACTAGTAGATATTAGTTGACAGATATTAGTTGGTTGTTAAACATTTATTAATTAAAAAAATAAAAAAAAAAATGTCAAGAAAGGCGGCTGAAGCCACCGCCTCATTTGCCTATAAATATGTATGTACTCCTCACTCTCAATGTACCAATAAAAATAATGTTGATATCCGAGTTCGCCCATGAGACCGAGCCGGAGCACAATTCCAAGAGCCGAACCGGAGACCCGGTCTACCCATAAAGTGCCGAGCTGAACCGGAAAACTTTTTGATCCTGACGTCATTGTGGGACCGCTCGTCAGTTCGGCGTTTTAGATCATGAAACTTCAAGTGCCGGCCTGAAAAATAACGGACTGAAAGAAAGATTCCCCAGGACCGGGGGAACAGATGAAGATAAGGTGTCGAGGTGCCGACCTCGGGTCCTGGAGCGGGCTTCTACAGCGGAGTGCCGATTTCAATAATGATATAATAATGCCACTTGGGGAGCAATCATTGGCTAAACAGATGGGACATCATAGCCTGCTGACCTACCCCCCTTTAGCCAAGACATAAAGCCTGCCAAGCATTAAATGCCTGCCACCTAATGATGAGGAAAACCTCAAATCACATTTAATGCTGTCAGAGAAGCGCCGGACTGTCCCGCAGGAACACTGTACGACAAGATTGATGAACAGTACCTGAACAGTGCCTCATTTAAGGCTACTATAAATAGCAACCCTCCACATTTATTTTGGGTGGTTGAACCTCAACTGTAATAGCTATCTCTCTACTTTCTCTCTCTAAAAATCGCGTAATTACTCTGTAACGATTTGTAAGGATATTGCAAGTGCCGACCTCGAACGAGAGGCCGACCTAGCGATCAGTCAATAAACTGCAATTAAACCGTATTTTCCTGTCTCCATATTATTTCCTTTTCTATTATTTACCTTTTTAATCGTTGACCGGAAACGTCCGTCAACAAATAAATTAAACAAAGCTTCATTAGAATAATAAGTGTCTTTTGTCATTACTAATTCTTCTAGCCTTATAATAAAAATAAAATAATAAATTCAATCTATTTCTTCTAAATTTATATACTTATCTTTCATTGTATTCATATACATTTAATATCATATTTTAGATACCAACAGAGATGAAGGCCACAAACTACACAAACACTCATCAAATCAAAACTAATGACATTTACAGAACCTTAGTGGCACAAAACACAGTTGCAAACAACCATGACCACTTCATAACATACTACCTTGACCTAGACATTGACGGTGTCCAAAACTCACGTGTTAAGTCCAAGCTCAAAACCGTTAAGGACGAAAATGCCCTCTCGCAGAAAAAGTTACTGGAAAGTTTCTACAAAGACTTTCCAACGGAGAACGAAGCACGGGTTCGGGTCGGTCTATCAATTGTTAATCCTTATAAGCAAACGAGGATTGGGAATCCCGTGAGTTACAGGCTGATTACTGGACAGTCGGCTATTTCCCTTCTTACGGAGGACGATTATCCACAAATTAGGGCGTCTTACACTGAGTACCAAATTTGGGCGACTTGTTATAACAAGTCAGAGAGGTGGGCCGGAGGGTTTTACGCGGACCGGAGTCAAGGAGATGATGGATTGGCCATATGGAGCAAAAGGTAAAGTTCTTTATCCAATTATTTTTATCATATATAGCGCACGTTTGCGAAATTGGATAAGGGTCGGTAGGTAAAAGACTTTACTACCCTCAACCTAATTAATTAATTGACCCTTTTTAGATAACTAGTAAAGTGCACGTGCGATGCACGTGGTGGTGAATGTTTTAAGTTTAGTAAAATAAATTAATTAATTTATTAAAAATATCATTGCAAGAATGAAATAAAACGTAGAATAAATGAGCTCATAATGTAATTATTTTTTGCCGATTAAGTTTTGTAAAATAAATAAATTAATTGATTAAATATATCATTGCAATAATGAAACAAAATGTAGGACAAATTGTTTTTTCCAAAATAACTTAACGATGTCCTAATATAAAAATAATTAAATAATACATTACATCCCCAACAAAAACACTAAATAACTAAATAATGGCTAATATACATGCATTAGTTATTTTCTTTGTTTATGTTAGATGATTCAATAACGATCTCTTTCGTTTTGAAATTCTCATAAGAAGCATTGCTGATTCAATTGTATTACAAAATTCATCTTAATTTATTTGGCAAAACGTCTACTTTATTCAAATACTTAAAAAAAATATTCTAGTCCAACATATAGTGAAACTTCATGGTTGTATCATATTTATATTTCTACTAACAAAGCATGAATATCTCTACAAAATAACTAATCGTGTCATTAAAATTGTTGATTATTTTTTATCATTGTATAAACTTCTATATTACTCTCTCTATATATATATAGACAAATTGATACCTACCCATGGATGTATCGCCCTACAGGGGGAATGAATTTCATCTCGAAATAAAAGTTGACTTTTCAAAATCTCTATTACATGTAATTTTCCCGAGATTAGTTTTTGAAATCATCACATATTACCTAAAAGTACATACTCTAAAATAATTGTACATATGTTCAAACACAATACACCAATGAAATTATAAATATTCCTATAAGAAGTGTCAACTTCATTCAAACATTCAAAAATGTTTTGATCAGGCTCCAACGTTTCATTTTCAATGTCATTTATTTGAAAGATAGACGAACTATATAATATATTGTTTATAAATCATTAACCACCTAGTTCTTGCAATGATTTTAGAATTATTTATTTTAATATCTTTCACATTTGTTTGGATTTGTAACAATTATGTGTCCAATAACTTTTTTAAAGCTTTTATCCTCCAACTTTATGCATCATACATAATGCTCATAAAACTCAAGATAAAGATCATTTTTTGATTCTTCACCAATGACAAAACCAATCAAAACAAAACAATGAGACAACATTGAGAAGCATATCATTTGTTAAAAAAATGAGAAAAATTGGAATTCTATTTTATGACTCTTAGTCATCTTTGAACTTTATTATTACGAAATCATTATTAAAATCTACTATATGTATTATAAAGTTTTAAATTTTTAATTATTTAAAATTAAAAATTGATAATATAGGATCATTTATTTATGAGATCCAATTTCTTACAGAGTCTATATATTTAAATGCTAGCAGCGGAAAAAAAAAATATTATCTTTAAAAGACTTTTTGTTTCTAAATATTGGTATTCATACTTGTCTAAGAAAATTCAGACGTTTTCTTTTTTTCAATTGTATTACTATTACTTTATTAGTTTTTTATTATATTGATAAGTAATACTTTATTTATTAAAAGAATTATAGCACATTTATATGTATTGCATCATTTTTTGTACGTGTTTCATATAATGACGTTGTTATCAAAATATCATATTTATTAGGCAACAACTAATGTAATCACATAAGATAAAATAAAATTTAATATTACTTATTTATTTATTTATTTATAATAATAATATATTTGATAAAAAATGTAGTTTTATACTGATTATTAGATTAAAAGGTTTAGAAGTTTTTGCCAATGTTTGAGAAAATATTAAGAAACTAACTCATTTTCATACTCATTAAATTTATGTGTTAGTTGAATAATAATTTAACATACAACTCGTTTATTTCTCCTTTTAATTCACATGGTTAATATTGGTGATAGTTGTATGTTTACATCCATTGTTTGTTTTCTCTTAATATGAATTTTCGGATCTATGTAAAAAAAATATGCCACAATTTTATATTATGTTATTTAATACTTAATGAATTTATGTAACATGGATGTATAATTTATTTTATAAGATACTTTTAGGTCTATTTATTATTTTTAATTCGTGTTGATAATCGATACACTTCATTGGAAAGAAATGATGTGATATATTATATATAAAAGGGTAACAAATGATAAAATAAAGTATTTTAAAATTGAAAAATTAATGGTAGAAAGTAATTAAATTTTTAATTAAAAGAATTTCAAACTAACACAGTGAATTTTAATGCTAATATTTTTTATGAACTTAAAAGTTCAAGTTAAAATAAATGTCCATATTAAGTATATTTGATGTTTCTCATTACCTAGCTCCAATTGGTATAGGACATTAATTAATTTTATCACTTTTTTTTCTTATACTTTCAGATTTAATGCGAGCTATAAGTTTTCTCATCATTCTTACCCCTTGTTTAGTTATTATAGTACTAATAAAATAATTAAAGACTTTTTGACCTAGATGTATCTTGTTTGTTTTGAAATAGTTTATAAATTACCATAAATTAAATGATAATTAGATTGAATGTGTTATATTTTCTATCATTAACAACAACTTTCATAATAATTAGTTGTACACGATATTATATAGAATGTAAATTTTTCTTATTGATTTGGAGTCCTACCTTTACTACAAGAAAATGAGAAAATTTCAACGAAAATTTCAATTAAATATACAACAAGGGAATTCATCGAAAATTCTAACGAATATTTCAATGTTATTACTCCCGTTTGAATTTTTCAATATAATTCTAGAAAAAAAAAATTATTGGAATCATGAGCATATCTATGTTTCTTTAAAGGTCCGGCACATCCCTCCATCCAAAAGCATATAGCATAAGGAATCTAATAAAAATTGTGGGAACATTTTTTCATGATTTTTATCATGTTCTCTATTTTAAAAATGAAATTAAAATAAGGAAATAAAGATACATAATGAATTAATTTACAACTCAACCAATTATAATTTAATTCAACCCATAACTTTATTAATGTTATAACATAAACGCGGCATTACAACTAAAGAAAATATAATAAATCTCAAAATTACGTCCCAGCAGTTGAGACCAGTTTATTCATTTATATACTGAGATTATCTACACCTGTTATTATCATGAATAATTGCATCACTACAATATAATACCATAATGATTCGCTAGTTCACGCCAAGTTTTCAAATTTTTTATCTGATATATGATATGGACTTTTCTATTCCTATATTAAAAGGCCTTTTTGAATTCAATTAAATGTAAATGAACCATATTGATGATAGTTTCAAATCTCTCTTTTGCAACATATTTTTTTCTATATCTTCAAAATATATTTTTTATGTCTTTTGAACTAATGCAAGGGGAATTATAGTTATATATTCATAATTTATAAATTCATCAATTGTAATGCCGAGTCAGCTATACTACAACATAGATTTTTTGTTTATAATTTTTGTAAAAGAAACATTTCAATGATTTTATTATGTTGAATTGAGAAAAATTGTCCTTTTTTAATTAAATATTTTTTAACTTATTGCGACTATACTGATGTGTTAGAATGTATTACAAGTGAGAAACATGACAAATTATGTAAAGTATAATTTAGAAATTGTAATGGCACTATTTTATTTTGATAGTATACTTTTTTTTCTAACCTGCATGGATAAAGGTAAAAATAACTATTGTATATCACCTAAAACTTACACATAGAATAAATAAGTATAAAAATTAACATGCATTTATCAACCCTGCTCGTTTACATTGATAAATAGAAGTTTTAAAAGGTTTATATTTACTTTTATTAATAATAACATATTTATTTATTATTTTTTAATATTTATTAGTATGTGTTACAACTTAGTAATTTTTAATATCATTTGTCAAATTTAATATATATATATATATATTTTTATATTGTTCTTTCATATGTTTTTAACTTTTGTATTTGCTCAAAAATTCATAATATTATGTAAAGAACTTTTTCGGTCATATGTGTTAATATATCAATTATTTGTATATCTTAATATTATATTATATACAATTACAGTTTTTTATTTAATATTATAATCAATTATTCGTAATCTATAAATTCATCAACACTATTGTGGAGTCAACTATACTACAACATAGATTTTTTGTTCATAAGATTTTTAAAGAATATATTATTTCGGTCATATGTGTTAATATATCATCTATTTGTATATCTTAATATTATATTATATACAACTACAATTTTCTCATTAATATTATAATCAATTAGTCATAATTTATAAATTAATCAATAACATTTTCGAGTCATCTATACTACAACATAGATTTTTTGTTCACCAGATTTTAAAAGATATATTATTTTCAATGATTTGTTTATTTTTAGTTGAGAAAAATTATGTTTTTTTTTTGTAAATACTTTTAACTTATTGTAACTGTATAGATTTGCTAAACATGTATTACAGCTGAGAAGGATGACAAATTATAGTATAATTTATATATTATAATGATATTATATTATTTTAATGGTATATTTTTTCTATTGGCTAAATACAGCCCCCAATATTATGGAATTGTGTGTATCTACCACTGCAATTAGCTTTCCAAAGCAACTTTCATTGAATTTTTTACACTTCCGATGAAAAATTTTCTAACTGTAGAAATATGTACCGAAAAAAAAATCAAATAAATTTCACAACAATAAATAATGGTAATTTGAATCATTAAATCCACTAAAATTCCATTACAATTTAAAATTCCTTTGAAATTTTTAGTGGAACACCTTATCGTTGGATTTTTCATTGTAATATAGCATTTTATTTTTTGAATTTGCTTTTAAACATTAAAATTTTTATGTTGTAGTTTTTTTATTAATTAATTGCGTTTATAATTTTTTTTATTAAAAATATATTAAACACATGAACTTTTTAGTCCATATAACTTTTTAGAAACCACTCGTTATTTTAACTCAAAATTATCTATTAATTGCTCAATTAAATTACAACCTTTTACGTATTAAATATTAAATAACAAAAATAATTATTATTTTATATTGTAATATGATATATATATATATATATTATATTAAAAAACTAATAGCAAATAAAAAAATATTTAAAATTAAAATAATTATTTTTTAAAATATTAAAATTTCTAACTTACATGGATAAAAGTACAAATAACTATTATATATCACCTAAAAGTCACACATAGAACTAATAAGCACAAAAAATTAAAAAGAAATAAACAATTAAATTTATTACATCGATAAGTATAAGTTTTAAAAGTTTTATATCTACTTTTATTAATTATAAAATTTTTATTTATTATTTGTTTTCATATTTATTAGTAAGTCTTACAACTTAATTATATTTTTAATGTTATTCATCATATTTACTATTTTTTTACTTTCATATTGATCTTTTATTGAGCACACATCTTGAAAATCTGTGGCTCAAATAAAATAATAATAATTAAAATCTGATGATATATTTTACTTAATTATTGAATGTAAAATTCATATATTTCAAGTGTTAATAATTAAAATATTACTCATCCTGATATTAACCATCTAATGATCAAGTGAAAATAATTATTATTTTATATTGTAATAGGATATTTATATTATATTAAAAAAAAACTAATAGAAACTAAAAAGTTATTTAAAATTTAAATATTAAAATTTTCAACCTACATGGATAAAAGTACAAATAACTATTATTTATCACCTAAAAGTTACACATAGAATTAATAAGCACAAAAAAGTAAAAAGAAATAAACAATTCGATTCATTTACATCGATAAGTATATGTTTTAAAAGTTTTATATTTACTTTTATTAATTATAAAATTTTTATTTATAATTTATTTTTATATTTATTAGTAAGTCTTACAACTTAATTATATTTTTGATGTTATTCATCAGATTTAATATTTTTTTACTTTCAAAATGTTATTTTTTAGCAAACAACTTGAAAATCAATGGTCTAAATAAAATAATAATAATTAAAATCTCATGATATATTTTACTTAATTCTTGAATGTAAAATTCATATACTTTAAGTGTTAATAATTAATATTACTCACCTTGATATTAACCATTTAATGGTCAAGTGAAAATTCGTTAATTTTATTCACTTTGTGACTAAAATTGAGAAAAACATATAAACAAACAAATGACGATTTTTGTGGGATCAAAATTCAATCCTGTAAGACTAAAGTGCAATTTCTATTCTAATTCTAAATATAAGAGTTTACTTTTCTTAAATAATGAAGTAGCTAAATGAATTGTTCAACTTTTCTAGTTTGTCAGAGAATGTATAAAATTATATTAAAAACAGAGATTTTTTTGAAAACAGCAATTCTATATCTTTTCAAAACTTTGTTGTTTAAGTTGATAGTGGGTTGATATTTGGGAGATATGTGAAAGAAAGCCATTTTGTGAGAAATAATGGTGCGCGAATGAATACTGTCTTTGATTTTTAGGAGATGTGAAATATATTGTTCATATATTTGTATTTAATTAATTAAGCATTAGTTATTAATTAAAAATATAAGATATGATGAGTATTAGTGTATTACTAATTTGACATTAAAAATATGTTAAAATAAGAGTTTTTTAGGTAATTCATTTTTTAATTTAAAATATAAAATAAGATATGTATTAGTGTATTACTAATTTGTCATTAAAAATATGTCAAAATAAGGTTATTTTAGGTAGTTCATATTTTTACAAAAACACTCGTCCTTTTAGAGTAGTATAGATATAGATATAGATATAGATATAGATAGATTATATATATATATATATAGGGGATGGATCCAATGAGACCGCTTCTTAAAATGAGTACGTGAGACTCAATCTTAGCCACTCATTTTGTCTAGATTAAAATTAATTAAAATATACATTAATTAAATAAGAAAATAATTATTAATTGACTCCGGCATTGACCGTTGACTTCCGGCGTTGACCGTTGACTTCCGGCGAGAATCGTTGACTTCCGGTGTTGACCGTTGACTTCCGGCGTTGACCCGTTGTATTGAAATAAATAACCTAGCGACAAAAGATACTCAACCTTGAGTGGTGTAGTGGTTGCATTGCTTGTCTTGCTTCCATGAGGTACCAGGTTCAAATCCTATGGGCTACAATTTAGCTTCCTAATTACAGATTTAACAAAACCACTATTGTTCTTAGTCTCAGAAAGAAAAAATAAAGAGGGGTGGTGAGCCTTAATGGTCTCTCTGATTTGGGAAATTGTAGAGGGCCCACCCAGCCCTCTACAATTCCACACCGCAGCTAACATGGAGGATTTGGGTGCCAATTTAGGCTGGCATCCCCCACCTGAGAATTAGTCCCTTTGAGTTTTTTCACAGTTGTTGGAATGAGCATGTTCTGGTTGTTTGGCTGAGGGGAAGGTGGTGTGTCTTCCCTGGTCCTCTTAGCTCCTTTGGAATCTTGGCTCATGGGTTGGTGTTCTTCTTCTCTTTGCAGTCTACCTTCTCTGCTAAGTGCTCTTTTCCAGGTTTTATGTTTGGATGTTTTGATAGCCTTAAATGTGTTGTTCTGAATGGGCTTGCCTTCAAGGGGGCTGTCAACTGTTTGTATGGCTAACTCAACATCCATCATCTTGCTGGGTATTGGTTCCTCTTCTATTGGAATGAGAAGCTCCTGTGAACTGTTATGAGGAGCTGGTACTGTTTTCATTATTGATGCAGGAGGTGGAGGTGTTGTTTCTTCCGGAGGTGAGTTAGAAGCCACATTGTCTGGTTGAGAATTGTGAGAGGGTGATTGTGAGACTGGGATTATCTGCTTCCCTTTGTCTGTGAAGCTGGGTGAGCTCCTAAAAGGTGAGTCTTGTTCAGGCATGGGAACTTTGCTGGAAGAGGAAGGAGATTTAGATTTTGTTTGTCCCATCTCAACCCAATGCTGCCCTTCCACAGCTTTAATCCAGTCACCATACTGTCCTTCTTTGACTGTTTTGCTTTTAATAGCATCCATTCTCTTCGTGCATCCTCTATCTAAGTGGCCAATGAAGCCACAATAGTAACATAGATTATGCAGCTTTTCATATCTGAAACCCACACTTATTACTTGGTCCTCTAGCTGGATGTTGGTACACCTTGGAATGGGCTCATTAAGGTTCACTGTGACCAGAAGTTTAAGTAATCTACCACCATGGTTTCCGGAGCTAACAATAACCACATTCTGAACGTCTTGGAAAATTTTCCCTACTTTTAGTCCCACTTCAGTACTTAGCCAATTAATTGGAAGATTCCATACCTGAACCCATAAAGAAATTTTCTGAAAATCAGAGTGTCTGCTGGTTAAGCCCTTTTCCCATTCCTTGAGAACTAAATACTGGTTCTCAAAACTCCAAGTCGTTCCATCCGCTACTTTTCTTTTATCGTCTTTGCTCTGAAAAACAAATTGGAAGAAATTCGGACCCAGCTCTTTGACCTCCATTTGTTGCTGCAGTCTCCATATGTGTGTCATAGTTCTTTTAATCCCTAGCCAGCTTGCTTTCCGATCTCCGATTACCTTTCCGAAAAGGCTTCGCTGACATTCTTCGTCGCTCAACTTGATATCATCTTGTGCTATACTGGTGATTAGGCTTTCTTTGTCTGATAATGAGAAGCTTTTGATTCGGTCCGCTAGGTCATCGTCATGACCCATACAATTAGGTTCCGCCATGGCTAAAGGAGAAGAAAACGAGTCGAGAGATTGAAGATGAAGATGAGATTTACTGCCTTAACTATCAGAAAACAAAACAAGATCGCAAGATTTGATTACTAGAGTTGCTCCCACCGGAGAGAATCGCCGGAAATGCTCCCACCCGAGAGAATCCTATCTTAATATTTTCTAATGACAAAATATATATTAATAATTTAGAATCTATTTATTCAATTATTATAAAATATATATACTGAATAATTATACTACTTATAATTTATATCTATCATTATATTATTTATAATTTAGAATAATTTTACTTAATTATTATATTAATTATAATCTTGAATTTTTTTATTAAATTATTGCAAAATCTATTTATTTATATATTTTATTATTCTAAACTTTATAATATATTTTATTAACTATTATATCATTTATAATATATAATATTTTTAATTTATAATATATTTATTTAATTATTATATATTAGTAATTTGGAATAGATTTAATCAATTATTATATTTTATAGTTTAGAATATATTTACTTAATTATTATATATTAGTAATTTATAATCTAATTACTTAATTATTATATTATTTATAACTTAGAACATATTTACTTAATTATTACATTATTTATAATTTATTATATATATATACTTAATTAATATATCATTTATAACTTAGAATCTATATATTTAATTATTAAATTATTTAGAATATATATTATTAATTATTATGATATTTCTGCTATACGTTATATTATATATATAAATAGAGTCGCATTTGTAACAAAATTATTAGTAGCCCAGTTGGTGGAGGCCCTCTTTATATCCCAAAGGTTATGGGTTCAAACCTCAACACTTGCATTTTAATTTTAAGTCTATATAACAATAAGGGTATAAGCGTACATTCATCTGTAAAGTAAGGGTATAATCGTAAATTTAACGAAAAAGTAACGCCGTCAACATTAAAGTAACGGCGTTAACATAAAATGGCGAGTCTGCATGTAAACAATAAATACAAGGGGGTTTGACGCAATTTTTAAAATACAGGGGGGAAACGCGCAGATTTCGTATAATACAAGGGGGTTTGGTGCATTAAACCCTTATTTAATTAATGAACAATTATTCCAAGTATTTTCAACATTCGCAAACAAACTAAAATATAATATTTTCCCGCAAGTTCAACCGTAGAAGACAACTTTTATCCTGATATTTATATTGTCGAACGGAAATGTGCTCTTATAGCATACATGTGAGAGTCACAAAATCACCCATTTCTATTGACTTAGCGTATTTGGGTCAATTTTAAAATTTTTAATTTGTTTTTTTTGTGCAACCAAAACTAGGTGTCATGGTACCGTTTTAAATTAGTGCTAATAAATATATTGACATGAATCACATTGTGGGCTTTGTGCAGGAATTTGCCAATAGTGAAGATTTTCCATCACATTGTGGTATACGTACAGTTGGTTTTCATCACAGCCAGAGTAAAGTAAACGAAAATTTAAATTCGTCTCCAGTTTTTTCTACCACTTTTTTTACTTTACATGGATCATTATCTTTCTATACTTCTAATTTTTTAAGTAGTATAATTATTTAAATAAAATCTAGTCGATCATCATATTATTAATAGTGAAACATAGTAGAGGAGTATGTAGATTATGCAACGTGTGTTTAAACATCGAAGTTAAAAGCAAAAGCAACGTATAAAGAGAATGTCTCGGGGGAACGTCCCACTGCTGCTTAGAGTTCTTTCATTAATAGATCGGTTTGCGCACAATTTATAGCTTGGACTTACAATAATAAGACTCTCTCCTAGTCTAACCAACGTATACCCGACTCTATCAATTACTTCCTGATAGCTACAGATCCTCACTAGTTATAAAAGCACTAAATCCATAAGGACTCAAAGTGTTTATGAATAAAGAACAAAATCAATTTTTCAGCAATAACACAACACTTAATCATAGTAAAATTAACAAATAGAAAATAAAAAGCAAACCAACACTCAATGAAAGTATGAAATGACAATATCCATAATTGCAACAATTTTCTTGGAGTCTTCGATCAAACATATAAACAAATTTCTCTCATGTAAGAGGCATTCACATTCCCATGTACTGACTTATTTCCTTGTGGAGTTGATTCCATTTTCGATTGACTTCTTCATGACTTGGACACTATCTCCTTCATGTTGAAGCCGAGATCTTCTAATCACCATCAACTCATATTTTCCTTTGTCTCATGATCCTTCCTACAACAAATCTCACATATATTATAGAAAGAGATTTATCAAATATAGATATTAACTATTAGATATAGAAGTGTGCTCAAATAAGAGAATAGCACAATGAAAGAAATGAGAATTAATGTGGACCGCTTGATCTATTATTTCAACGGACGAGATGCAGCAGTAAGCGGTGAATGACTGGTCAATAAACGATGGCATAAATAAATATATTTTTATACAATAAAATATAAATGCACAATAGTATTAAACAATATGCACTTTGGTGACTGTAAGAATGCACACTATTAGTAGATTAAATGCACGCTAATAGGATAATGCACATTAGTATAAATCGGATAATGTTCACAAATGCTAAATAAATAGAGTAATTCAATTCGGTTTCAATTTGATTTGGGGAAAAATAATAATAAAAATATGATAATAATAAATATATTTTTATAATATAATTTTATTTTTTTTTTATAAATGCTCAATAACAGTAATTGAGATACACATTAAACTTTTCTACAATTGAAATTGCACATAAAAAATATCAGTCTATGCACAACAATGCTATATTAAATGCACATTAGTGTATGTTAGAGTGCACATTATCAATTTCGTGTTTTATACATCGTGTAATTTCAACCATAAATAATAAAATATTAAAATATTTTTTATAATACAAATAATAAATTATTTCAATTATTAGGGTAATTGGGTAACTGATTATTAATATTAGGTTTTATTTCGTATGAAATAAGTCATTAAAATGTTTGTGATATAAGTGCACAAAAGTACTAGACAAATTGCACTCTAATGACTATCAGATTGCACAACATCGGAACAAATCATAAAATTAAATATTTCAGTTCGAAATTTTATATTTCTATTCGATTGTTATTATTTTTTACTTTTAAAAGCTCGGTTATCAGGAAATTTTCAAAAAGTGAAATAACCGAACGACCAAACTATATATTATTTATTTTTACATATTTTTAATAAAAAAATATATTATTATATGTCTTTAGTAAAATAATATTTATTTTCAGCTTAAATGTATTAATACATTAAATGATAAGATACTAATTATATTTTATTTAATTACAAATTTCACCCTTGAACTCAATTGTAATTTACCAAAGTTTATAAAATTGCTATTGAATCCTTCTAACTTATTAAATTTTCAAAAACAAGCCCAAGTCTACACACACCCAACAACCTCCTTCCCCACTCTCCAATCGGCGACCAACCTCCGACGACGGACCGACGGTCGTTATTCCAGGGCCGCACCACCACCCACCGCCGCCCACGAAGATGAAGCCACCACTGTCTTCTGGAATTTTTTCCGATGTCCTCAGTTTCCGGCAACGTCGAGCACCGCGGCACGACCTCACATAACCAATCTCTCCGGCCAGAGGCGCGACGTTGCATAATGAGCAGTGGAGATATGGATGGTGGACGACAAGTCGGTTTATCTACGGCTTTCTCTCGTTCAGATCGGTTGCCGGAAAGATGGAGCGCATCGGCAGTCTGTGGTGGATGATGGCGGCGGTGTGGTGACGGAGGCGAATGGCCGATAGGCTTGAAGTTCTGGCTGACGGGTGTTGACGGAGGCGGAGATGAACCATGATGTCAGCAGTCGCCTGAGGAGTAGAGCCGACTGCCACTTGCTATAGAAGGCGGGCGGCGGCGTGGCGGGCCTGGCAGATGGCGGCGGGGTTAGTTGCTGTAGGAGAAGAGCCGACTGGTGGTGCGAGTGTGTGTGGGTTTGTGTGTGTGTGTGTGTGCGTCGATGTGTGTGTGCAGAAGTGTGTGTGAGAGAGAGAGTTTGTATATAAGATAAAAATAATATAATTATTTCTATCAGTATAAAATAACATATATATATATATATGTATATATACCAATTTAAAATAATAAATGGACTTAAAAGTATCTTATAAAATAAATCACAAATCCATGTTAAACAAATTTAATTAAGTAGGAAAAAAGCATAAGATAAA